CAAGATAAAGCAAGACCTATATAACAAGAAATGTAACTTTTTTGTATCTAACAAGATCAGTCAAATCCCCTCAGGATTTACCCTGAAACCCTGTATAGCAGTTTGTAGATCCTTTGTCAGTGACAGGGTCTTGCTGTAGCCCAGGCTGACCTTGATCTCACTATGTTGCTCAGGTAGGTGGCGCTGAATTTGTAACAATTCTGCCTCAAATTCTCAAGTGCTAGGATTATAAATGTGTGTCACCATGCCCAGGTCAAAATAAAGATTAAAAACAAAATTTTAAAAGGGCTGAGGATAGCTCAGTACAAAGGCACTGGGTTCAATCTCTAGGACAGCAAAATTTATTTATTTATTTTTTTATTTTTTATTTTTTTTTAGCGGAACCGGGGATTGAATTCAGATCCTTGCGTTTGCCGGTCAAGCGCTTATCCTACTGTGCCATCTCCCTGGCCCCAAAATTTTTTTTAAAGAATTGTTTTAAGGAGGAACTGAAAGTATCTGTGTAGAAGTAAAGAAAGACTGCTTTAATTTTTTTTTTTTTTTTGGTTCACAAATGTTTAATTACCTAAAATCAAACTCTTTAATTTAAAAGCTGCGTGGTTTTGGTCGTCCCTCCAGCCCCCACCCCCTCCTGACCAGAGGCATGGACTGCACTGCAGAAGCATCTTAAAATAATATTACAAAGAAATGTGATCAGTCATCTCAGGTTCCCGAAATCCTTGAAGTATGCTTGGAATTACTCATTTGTATCATATTTTCAGGGCTGGTTCTCTAGTGGCTACTGAAGGTAGTTGGTGAATGCTAAGGCAGAAGAACTTCCTTCAGCAAGTCCTCAGAAAGCTGGGCAGCCACTGTTTCCTCCCAATGGCATGGACCTCTGCAAAGATTCATTCTCATAAAAGTTCTGTCTGCTGACTAAAAAAATCTGCAATTACTGTCTTTAGCCTCAGCTACATTTTCCAGGAAAATATTTTTCTCAGTGCTTTATGTCAGTGCTTAAAGCTTATCTGTTGATTCCAATGACTCTTCTGTCCTATATTATACTCATGTCTAACTTTTACAGGGGCCGAGGATACAGCTCAGTGGCACAGCGCCTGCCTGGCAAGCTCAAGGTCCTAAATTCAATTCCCAGTACAAAAAAAAAAAAAAAAGGGTAAGTTTTATAGCAACAGAAAAACTTAAGACAAAGATGGATGGTGGTTAAACATCTATTTTAGCTCTGTGTAACTCTTTCATTGCCAACAATAAGTATCTTGTGCAGTATTTACCACATTCGAGGCACTAGTGACTTAGTACATGTAATCCTTAGGACTACACTGGAGGGAGATAGCAACAACATCCCCATTTGAGCTGGATCCAGCATCATGACACAGACCTGTACTACAGCACTCTGAGGCTAAGGCAGGAAGACTGAGAACTCAAGTCCAGCCTGGGCAACTCAGCAACTTAGTAAGACGCTATTTCAAAACTTTAAAAAATTTTTAAAGTGCTGGTGATAACAGTTCAGGGTTGGGGCTAGGGAGATAGCTCAGGAGTATAAGCGCCAGCCTGGCAAGTACAAGGTCCTGAGTTTGATCCCCAGTACCAAAAAAAAAAAGTTCAGGGTGAAGGCCCTGGGTTCATTCCCACATTCCCACAGGACAGAATAAAAATGGGATCAGTCATCTCAGGTTCCAGAAATCTTTGAAGTATGCTTAATATATATATATATAGTTTCACTGCACAGCTCAGACTCATAGTGATCCTCCTATCTCCGCCTCCCCAGCGGTGGGATTGCAAGTGTACACCACCACACCCAGCTTCAGTGGCTGGCTCATCACACCCAGAGCGGAGCCAGCACAGCATGAGGTGCCAGGAATTGAAACCGGGTCCCTGTATTTGCCAGGCCAGTGCTTTATGTTAGTGCTTAAACCACTGAGCTATCTTCCCAGACCAAAAAAATACATTTTTGAGTCCCCATTTGACTGATGAGGAAAAAAGAGGCCCAGTTTTGATAGGTTACAACTATAATAGCAGAACCAGAAGTGACTCTAGGAAATTCTGCTTCTGTACTCCTTGTTCTTAACCATTTTACCATATTCCTTCTAACGATTCCTTAAGATAGAGTTCTTCAGCAAAACAAGTTTTAAAACTCAGAAAGCAATTAGATTTCCTTCTTCCTATCCCCTCACTATATTCACAGCATGTTTCATTACTATTCATTTCCAAATTTTGCTGCTGAAAATAGACTTTTGTTGTAATACCTATAAACTAGAAGGCAAGAAATTCTCCCAATAATACCTGCAGAGGCATTTTTTGTCCCTCAGTACCAGGGACTGAACCTAGAAGCCAGTCTTCACATGCTGGGAACACATTCTACCACCAAGTAACATCCTCAGCCCTAAGAACAAGCATTTATTTGCTTTTTCATTACTTTTTTTAAAGACAGAACAGAAAAATAATAATAAGATACTAGAAACAATTACAATTTCTAAAAACAAACAAGATGATAGGTATTCAACAATGGTTGTTACATTACACACTGTCTTCAATGTAAGTGCTCAGATTACCTACTGTAAGCATATAAAATAGGTCAAAGTAAAAATTTTAAGTATTACCTGCTACCTTCAAAAAACCAATAGAAATCAGTAATCTTAGCTACCCTGTGTATATATACATACATGATTTTTTTCACTTCCTTTTCTTTTTTTTTTGTACCAGGGATTGAACAGGCAGGCACTTATGCCACTGAGCTATCTCCCTGGCCCTCCCTTTTTTTCTTTCTTTCTCCTTTCCCTCATCCCAATTGTTAATCCCTTTTGCTCAGTTTCTTTCCCTTTTAGTGTATCTATTGTGTCTTTCAGATTTTATAATACTTTTTCAATTTCTTACACTAGAGAGATATGTTTACACATGTGGTCTGATTTATTTCACATGTGAGTATGGTCTCTAGTTGTATCCATTTATGTTTAAAAGCCTCAGGTTTATCTTTCTTTATAGCTGAGTAATACTCCATTGTATAAAAATATCACATCTGGGCTAGGGAGTTAGCTCAATAGAATAAGCACTTGCCTGGCAAGCGCAGTCCTGAGTTCAATCCCCAGTACTGCAAAGAAAAAAAAAAAAAAATCACATCTTTTTTATCCATTCCTCAGGTGATGGGCATTTGGGTTGTTTCCAAGATTTAGCTATGACAAATTGTGCTGCTATAAACATGGGTGCACGTTTATCACAGCGGTGTATCGATTCTTCTGGAAAAATACCCAGAAGGAGAACAGCTAGGTTGAATGGGACCTCTACTCCTAGTTTTTTAAGCAATCTCCACACTGAGTTCCAGAGATGTTGCACCAGTCTACACTCCCACCAGTGGTGGAGAAGGGTCCTTTTTTCTCTTCAACCTACCCAGCATTTGTTATTAGTTGATTTCTTTATGATAGCCATTCTCTCTATGGTAAAGAACAAGCATCTAAACATACAATAGTCATTTAGATTCACCTAAGGACCTGCAACTCACTATGAAAATTCCATTTCAAATTAAGTAAATTAGGTATTAGTTTCCTTTTGCTTTTAGAAGAAAAAAATGTACCAAAATTCTAAAAATGAACCAAGCATGGTGTTGCACACCGATTCCCCCAAGGCTGTGGTCAGTTATAATTCATTGGACACAGCCTGTCACCTAGCTCATCTGCTTGCAAGGGACCTAGAAATTATGGGAAATACTTAAGCTAGTAAGCAATAAATATTTCAGTTACAAAAGGTAAACCAGGTGGGTGTGGTGGAGCAAACCTATAATCCCAGAATCTAGGAGGCTGAGGCAGGAGGACTGCTGCTGGTTCAAAGCCAGCCTGGGATACACAGTGAGTTTATGGCCAGCCTGAACTACCTAGTGGGACCCTGTCTCAAAATAAAAAACAAAAAATCTAAAAATCAGTCTGATGTCCTTAGCACAACAATGAGGAAAGAGTAACAAGATTATTGTATGCCTATCAGAAGTATTAGTTTTTGAAAGGATAATATGAAAACAATATAACACTAAAAATTATTAAGACAAAGGTTAAGAGGGAAAAGATTCAAGTTGTATATCTGTCATAAACACTCCTTTTTTAAAAAGTAGGCATGCAGAAAAATAAAAATGACAGGCGTTGGGGCTGGGGAGACAGCTCAGTAGAAGCGCCTGCCTGGCAAGCACAGGGTCCTGAGTTCAATACCCAGTACCACACACAAAAAAAAAAAAAAAAATGACAGGAGTTGGTCCAGGGAGATAGCTCAGTGGCATAAGTGCCTGCCTGGCAAACATAAGGTCCCGAGTTCAATCCCTGGTACAAAAAAAAAGACAGGAGTTGTAAGGCAGAATGATGATACGTGACCTCTTTCAATTTCACAATAATGTTTTCAAAAAGCTTAAGATACAGCATAAAATTTAAATATAAAAAGTGTATTAAGATGTTACGTGACTGCCGGGGAGATGGCTCAGTGGAATAAG